TTACATTCTCACTAGAGTTTCTAAGCTGAATCAGTAAAGTACAAAGAACAGAAAAGTTGCACTGACATAATAAACAGAAGTCAGATTATATTAGGTGGAAAATAGGGGCTAAGATTAAGAAGGTGGAATAAAGGAATAAGAAAGGAGGGAGGGAAGGACTGTTGAATATACTGATTGGAAAGAAGAAAGAGTGGGTCATATGTACATACTGACTGATGGGGTTGGGATCTGGACTCCAGAAAGGAAAAATCCTGGACTTTCCCACATGGCCAAATCTCTGGGGTCCCCTGAGGCTATAATCCCATCAATTAGCCTTTCATAGTGGCTACACCCAATCTCCCAATTCTGTTACCCTTAACCTAGCCTAGTCCTCCATTGTCTTATTTCCCTATGGTCACTTCCCACCCTTAATCCTATCTAGGCTCCATTCTCCCTTGGCCATGTGGCCAGGTCCCTGGCTTTCTGTTACCTCACAGTCTCCCCCACTCCTCCAAACTACTTGGCCACTCCTAGATCCCTTCCATAGTCTTTCTGTGTAGAAGGTCCATCTTGTCTCCATTAAGATGCTTGTATTCTTTTTTTTCCTTTTTTTTTTAAGGCAATTGGGGTTAAGTGACTTGCCCAGGGTCACACAGCTAGTAAGTGTCAAGTGTTTGGTCTGAGGCCGAAATTGAACTCAGGGCTTCCTGACTTCAGGGCTGATGCTCTACCCACTGCACCACCTAGCTGCCCCAAAATACTTGGATTCTTATAATCTAACTACTCCTCAGATTTTTACAATCTAGCCAATAGCTCACGCATGCTCAGATTCCTTAGGAGTCTGGCTAATATAGTGGATCTTTAATAAACCTTGTTTTTAGCTGAAAGAAGGCTTGGATCAAACTCTTTCAGGCAGGACCTACATGTGATCTTGGGGTCCCAGCACCCCTAAACCTCTAGGTTTCTTTCCTTCCTTGTATAGTACATGTAGGCCTTGGAACTACTTTTCCAACCCTCACTTGAACTAACAGACTGAGTCCTCAGAGTTTGGCTATATCTTTCTGAATTCTAACTATTACAAGGGGGAGGAATGGTTTTCTAGTGCCATAATTCACAAGTACCCACTATATGCTTACCCTCATGATTATAAATTAATATCAGTTAACCAGATTTAATTAGCTTTTTGTACGTGGTATTGACTAAAGTAGTATGCAGAAGGAAAAACAGAGTTAGCTATGATCATTGAAATAGAGTCTTTGAAATTGTCAACATACAGAAAGTCCATGCTTCCCTCCCCCCAAAATAATCTGAACATTTCTGGATATACAGAAGTGGATACAGAATAAAGTGAACCAATTTTAGTTCAAATGACTTCCTTGACTTGGTTAAATAAATATACATGTGTAAGCTGCTTTCTCCTGGGGGCCAAGTCTCCAAGCAGTCACTTCATTGACATGAGGAAATCAGAGATATGCTTAAAAACAACCCAGACTCCCTCCAATTTCCAATCCTCTTGGGCTGGCAACAAATAACATATCCCAGAACATCTGAAAATTTCAAAATGTATTCTTTTGTTCATCTTTTGTTAATTTCCCCAGATATCAGCTCTTCAGGCAGCTCTCTACGTCCACTCTCAGCTGAGGCCATTCACTGTTTCCATGTCGTTGTTCTTTCTTTGTTCTCAAAGACAACATCAAACTATGATGTCTTGACTTGAGTGTGAATTAGATTTAAGTGAGGCAGAGCTGAGCAAAGTCATCAGCTTCACTCCTCCAGAATCATCAGAATCCAGAGGTGAGACAAAGTCAAGATGACTGGCAATGGCAGGGGTTGGAGTGGATGACCTTGCTCTTTCTAAATTAAGGTCTTTCCCAGGTCTCATTTTGTTTGAGGCTGTGCCAATTCAATGACTAAGGGCTAGGTAAGAATTGAGACAAAAAGTGACCTAGTTTATCATCACAAAAGTACCTTTCTGGGAAGGGAAGTTTCTGTCCACAACAGAAAACAATTGCTATTTACATTCATTGTAAGCCTTCTAGACCTAAACAATGAGCAAGGAGGCTAGGGCTAAGGGCTATTATTGGCCTTTCAACAAAAGTCAGAGTTATTGGGGTTTAAAGGTATAGTAAAGCTCCATTTGAATTATAATGAGCTTTTCTAAAGCCTATTTTTTCAGAGCTATATTTCAAGAAATCATAACTGAAAAGCTACACAGGACAGAAAGTATATTTTCCCAGCTTTTTCAAAACAAAACAAAAGAAAATCACAATAAATAAATAATAGGAGGAAAAAATTTGGCTTTCAAACCTTAAAATATCATATAAAATATAAGTGACCAAAAATTATATTCCTATGGTTAAAGCATCCATATACAAGAGTGCCATGTTTCCTTACTTTCCTCTCCACCTCAAAACCACTCTTTCCTTCCTTGTATAGTACATGTAGGCCTTGGAACTACTCCCTCAACCCCTACTTGAACTAACAGATTGAGTTCCCAGAGTTTGGCTATATCTCTCTTTCTAAACTCTAACTATTACAAGGGGGAGGGATGGGAAGGCTTTCTAGTGCCATAATTTACATGTATCCACTATATGCTTACCCTCATGATTGTAAGTTAATATCAGTTAACCAGATTTAATAAGTTTTCTGTAAGTGGTATTGACTAAAGTAGGACAGTTGGTACTGTCAACTCTGGTAACAAATGACCAAAGAGTCACAGAGGTTTTGTAACTATTGTTAATTCCAAAAACACCAAAGCTCACACAGGTTAAAAGCCAAAAGCTTTCTTTATTCCACCGGGGCAGAGAAATTAAGACACACATGTGGGGGCCTCCAAGCTCTTTGGTGTTTTTGGAGTTAACAATGGTTGCAAAACCTCCGTGACTCTTTGGTCATTTGTTATCAGAGTTGACAATTTGGTAGTAGCAGTGAAATCAGAAAGTGAAAATTACCTTCTGCTCTGACCCCAGTGAAAAGTACAGTACCTACAGAAGCCCTTTGAACTCAGCTGGATTGAGCTTGGAGAGCAGTGGCGAGTGACTTTCTTTTCCTGATTCTTGAACTCCCCATCTTTGGTAGAGCTCTGGCCCCTTAGAGGATTGAAATTTTGGCTGAGGCCAACTGAAGATAAGTTTTGTTGGCCCTCCCTTGGAAGAGGTTTTATTTGGACCCTCATGGGAAAGATTTTGGGTGTCTGTCCCCTATAGGGACTTTGTTCCAACTGTAGTCTTAAGAGCTTTAGAAAGGATATTGCTTTCTCCTAGGCCTGGAAACAAGCTTTGGATGACGATCCACCTCAGAAAACAGCAGTGTGAAGTCCACATCATGGGCCCCAAAGTTGTAGGCATGTGATTAATTGACAGAAATTGACCCAAGATGACTCCAGGCACCGTTGGCCAATGTAGGGTTCTTTTGATTAGGATAAAATAAATTACCTTAAGAAATGTCTTGATGAAGCCAGCAAGAAAATTAAATATCCCAAATAGGATGTTTTTAATAAATGTCTAATCAAAAACCACCAATAGAGAAACATTTTATAACTTAGATTCCCTTAAGAAAAGCTTAAATTGAATCATCCTATCTATGTGTCTGTCCTATTTTGTTTGTATTTTTGTCTTTGTGAAATGTAAAATATAAAATATCTATGTCATGTTTGTGTTATTTGTAGGTTCTGTTACCTTGAAGGATTTAAAATATAGCCAGTCAAGAAAACCGGAAAAGATTAATGAACTTTCATACTTGAAGCAATTGTCCCAGTAAGCAGGGCTAACTCCCACTTTACACCTTCCCAGGGAGATTAGGCTATAAGAAAAGAGAAAAAAATATGCACAACACTTTATTTTTCTGTTATTTCAGCTTTAGCTGAGTTGAAATCACTGAAATAGTCAGATAACCAAAGTTTGTAGAACTGCTAAAAACATTCTGGTAGATTTTGGAGGTTAAGGAGATTAATAATTAAAGAGTTTAAAGATTTATCATTTTTAAGATTGCAAGGGAAGAGTCCTGGGATTTTGGATAATTTCAGGAACTCACTCTCTTAGGAAATATTTGAGTAAGTTTTGGGGTACTATTCTGTAGAATTTGTTTTAATGAACAATAAGAATTACAATCTCATAGAAGTTAAAATAGCATTTGAACTTCCCCAGAAGATTGACAGCTTCATTGTTTTAGGGCAATGAAGGAAGGCAGCTAGTTTAGAAGGAATCTCAGAGTGGAGGGGGTGAGGAGGACAATAGGTATATGTTCTGCACTTTACAGTCACTCTGGTTAACTCTTCCTTGACCATGAAAAGGGAAAAGATTGTTTAAGCCATGGATTTCCTGTGACACCCCTGAATTCAGAGACCCTCTCCCTCTTATCTTGTTAAACCCTCTCATCCCAGATCAAGTTCCCAAATACAGGTGTTAAAAGAAAATGCTGGAAAAATGTAGGGGAACATGAATTACATTCTGGTTGCAGAAATGTATTAGCTGTGTAACTCAAGCAAGTTATCTTATCTCTGTTTACCCCAATTTCCTGAACTGTAAAGAGAAAAATAATAATGGTACCCACCTCCCAGGGTTGTTGTGAGGATCAAGATGATATAATGATTGTAAAATGCTTAAAACAATGACTGGCATATGCTAAGCATTGCATTATTATTGTTTCTTTAATTCAATGTAATTGTTATAATCTAAAGTGGGTTAAAAATGCCAAAGTTAATAAGATTAATGATTTTTTCCTATGGGATAATTTGGAAATGTATTTGACTGAATGAATGTCATCTGAAGTTTTGTTTCATGTTTTAAATACATAATATTGTTTTTTATTACTGTATTTCTAAATTCTCTTATATTGTGAAATTTGAGAAACCATTGTGACAGAAATCCTGTCAGGCAAATCCTCCGTTTTAATTTGTAAGCTGTTATACATGAATTGGACTTTTAAAAGAATGTGATAAGAAGAAATAGGTATTTGAAAACTGTTAAATATTTAATGAAGTATATTTTGTTATAAAACAGATAATATTAATAAGTTTACTCTAATACCAAATTTTAAATAAAAATTTTTGGCTATTATAAAAGTGTATATGGTGGTTTAAAGATGTAACTTCAACTTATTAATGATGAGTCAACTGTCAGGTATTTGCTGTATGTCTGAAGCCCTAGAATGTGGTTAGTTTTTATTTATAAACAAAGGATAAATGAAATGTTAACTGTTAGGGAAATGTCAGAAAAGATATTCAAGCCCTAAGTTGTGGTCAGTGAAATTTTGCTATTTAAGGTAAAAATTCTTGGGATTGTAACCACTATTGTTTTGAGTTTTGATTGCAGGGATAATTGTCTGAATTCTCATGAAGCCAATAGTAGTGCTGCAGTCTGAGAACTGCTAAAGGCAGAAGTCTGCACCTGGGAAAAGATCTGGGGGTGACCTTGGCATGTCCTAGGTAGGATCCTCCTGACTGTATTTCCTCATTGTGCTATTTCCTGTAGAGGAAAATTTCCCACCTGGTTAATCCTGAGCCTTGTTTTTAACACCCTGTGACTAAATGATTGGTTGTTAGATATGACTCATGCAGACATGAGTCAGGCCTGGAATCAAATAGAGTTAAGGGAGTTTTCCCTCCTGTTATGATATATGAGGTGTTCTCACCTGATAATGGCATCTGATATATAGCATCCTGTCAGTTACTTCAAATTGTGATTTGATTGATTCAATTGATTCCCCCATATTTATCCATACATTTCTCTTCAAAGAAAAGATAACCTCCCAACTTCCATAGTTGTATTTTCACCTGTTTTCTTGTATACTATCTTTTGTTGTCAATTCCATGGGGACCTTAAAAGGCCCTCCCTTCATCTCTGTTGAAGTGTCATGTCTGTTGAATCCCTACACAACATTCAAGGCCTAGACCAAATGCCATTATCTTACTGACATCTTTGGTGCTTTCTCCAGTTGGAAATGATTTTTCTCTTATCTCACCTTATAACACTTAATAATCCTCTCATGCCCTTACTTCATTCTGTCATTATGAGTATAAAGGAGCACTTCACCAGAGAGCCTAGTCCTTATCTGCATGCACAGAGTCCTTGGCCAATGTAATGCCCCTGTGGACTTTGGAGTATAACCAGATATTCTTTAATTGGTTCTGGGACACTAATGATGTGATAAAGAGGAGTCTTTTTGATGGCTATAGAGCAGGAACTGGAGTATATTCAAAAGGCACTAGTCAAACCAGACTTGTCCTTTGGATGAGCTTTTGCCTGATATATTCAAGTGAGGAGAACTAATTGCTCAGTGGAGAAGAGAGACCTTAAGCCTTTCTTTCCATCTTTCTTTCCACCAGGGCTGCCACAAAGTGAGCCCATGGTCCTGCTGTTGTTCTTATTGCTGTGTTGTCCTTTCTTCCTCCATCTAGATGAAGGTAATTAGAGATAACTATGAGCAAGTGAGCTTTAAAAAAGTCAAGAAGGCAAGCCACTAGGAGGTTTGGGAGTAAAATCCATGCTGGGTTTTGTGGCCAGGCGCTCCAGCATCAGGCTGAGATCCAGAGATTTAGCGCAACAGTATCTGAGCTGCGAATTCATTGGAACAAATGCTATGATCCACAAATTGAGTCATCTGATCCTTCTCTGATATAGGAGACTACGCTCCCAGCTTTTGAAGTGAAACATTTGTACTTTGGTTCTGATTATATCTTTGAAGTAAATATCCCCTTGTAAAAGCTAAGCAATGTTAATTAGTCAAATGGAATGAAGAGGTTAGTTACTATCATTTGTGTGGGGTTGGAAATACACTAAGATGGCTCTAATCAATAGCATTAGAGAAAGACACCCCAAATCCTCAATGGTACTCTTAAAACTCTGAGAAGGAAATGTAGCCTTCCTTAATCTGGGAGAGTGAGATTATAGTAATTGTTACATATTTATTTGTGTTCACTTTATCACCCCCAAGATTGTAATACCTGAAGACAGGAGCCATCTTCTTTATCTTTGCATCTACCCTGGAATTTAGAATAGTATATTATATATAGGAAAAATTTCATAAATATTTGTTAAATGAATGTTAAATATTGACTTGTCTCCTTAATTAGCTTCTCTCTTCCTTTCCTTCTCTTTCCCCTTCTCTCTTCCTGTCTTTTCCATTGGCATCATTCCCTCTGCCTGTAAATATGTGCAAGTCATCCCATATTTTGGAAAAAAGATTTGTACAAACCAACTCACCTGTCCTCCTGACACATAAACCCTGGACAAAATATTGTAAATATCTCTCAAAAAATACCTCTAGCCTGTGTCCCCACCCAGGGAATTCCTGAATTTATTTTGCTTCCCAGAAAGAGCCTTTGGCTCCTCTGCAATTACTCAGGTTAATAAGACATTGAAAATAGAAAAAAAAAAGGCTCATTTGTATAACAAAAAAGCTAGACAAGACTCACACCAAACATACAGACATTTAAGAAAACCTTCCCACTTCCAATGTGAAATTATATAGTCCATGTGACTCACAGGACCATGAAAGTAACAGGCAAGGTTTGCTAATACAGGCCATTGTGCTAATTGCTAATACATGTCTTGTTGCTCCTTGGTTCTGGCCCCTCCTCTGCTGTCAGTTTGGCATCTGGCTCTGGCTGCTTCTCTGAGGGTGGAGGGGATAATGCATTCTAGAAGTAACTCTCTTCAGAACGGGTCTCTTTCCATGTTCATGTGCAGAGTTTGGTGTCTGTCTCTCAATTGCTGGGGCTTCCCTCTTGGGGCTACACAGATGTAGCATCGGCTTCTTTCCAAGTCCACATGCATTTCAGCATCTCTGACTCATCTGGCCTGCCATTGTTTCCAGGTCTTTGTGGTGAGCTCACAATCCATCTGTGTCTTCAGCCATTAGCTCACATTATCCATCTTCTGCAGAAGCAGATTTATTTCATGCATCTATCTCAGGAGTCCCTTGTACACAAGAAAGGAAGGGCTTACCAAACTCCTCTAGGTGCAAATCTTCTCCTTTTTTACTTCCAAACATCTAGAACAAGAGGTCTGCACCTGATGCTTCTATTTCCTTACTACTCACTTCTTAAATCTCTGCAACTTGGCTTCCACTCCTACTTTATTGAAACTGTCCTGGTTTCAAAATTCATTTGCCATTTTCTCACCAGATCTCATTTACTTTGTAGCAACTGACATTGTTGAACTTCTACCCTTTTGATATGAAGAATTGTAAACTATCCATGAGCATAGGAAAACATGTTCCAAATCACTAATAATAAGAGAAACACGATTTAAAACAACTTTGAGGTTCTCCCTTACACCCTGAATATTGGGGGAAAGGATAGAAAATGGAAACAGTTAGTGTTGGAGGGGTTGTGGGAACATAGATATAGTAATGCACTAATGGTTTTCATTCTGGAAAGCTATGGAAATATGTAAAAAATGTGACTATACTGTTTGTACCCTCTGACCCACCAATCTGAGTACGTATTCCAAAGAGGTAAAAAACAGAAAGATCCAAGATACACCAAAGTATTCCTAGCAGCACTTTTTGTGGCAATAAAGAACTGACAACAAAGTGGGTGCTCTTCTATTAGAAAATGCATTACCAAACTGTGACATAGATATAAAACAGAATATTGTTGTATAACCAGAAACAACAAACATAATAAATTGAGACACAAAGAGTTGTATGAACTAATGGAGAGTTAAATAAACTGAACCAGTATGATATATACAGTGATGCAAATGGAAAGACCACTAAGAGGAAGCTGAACTTGGTATAACTGATAAACCAATAGTGGTCCCAGAGGACAGATAATAAAACACACTTTCCCTGCCCTTGGCAGAGAAGCAGGGTACTACATACAGCAAGGTTTTGCTTAGTGTGAATAATGAGCGGCCTATAGCTATTGCATGTATTCAAATTTGTACTATTCAAAGTAACAATCATGTAAAATACAGTCATTTGTTCCAAGCCAATAGAAATATGCCATGTAAATTCAAATAATGCACCTGCTTTGTGGGGTTCCTTATTCACACTAATCAGGACCTAGCTGTACTAGAGGATAACACTGCATATTGTCAGATATAAGTAGCATTTATATAACACTCCACAGATATTATCTCATTTTATCCTCACAACAACCCTGGGAGGTAGGTGCTATTATTATCCCCATTTTATAAATGAGGAAACTGAGACAGACAGTATTTCATTGACTTGCTTTGGGTCACACAGGGTCTGATGCTGGATTTGATCTCAGGACTTCCTGATTTCAAGGTGGGCACTTGAACCACTGTGCTGCCCACTTGCCTCGATTGATCTTCCTAATTATATACTCATAACTAAATATTATTATGCCTTCACTACTTCACAATGATGGGAGCCTGGCTGGGATATGAAAAATATATAACAAATTCCATCTAGTAGCTCCAAAACTGTCCTGTTGTTTATGTCCCACACTGAACTTCCCCCTGTTCTCTCCTTTGTCCATTTAAGATTTTCGTTGACACTCTTTAAAAAAAAAAGTCAATCTCATCCTCCCCTTTTCTCTACTATAACTATAGAGAGATAGTGAGGAGTTGAGAAAAACCCCTAGGCTGTAAGCCTGAGGGACTGGGAGGATTTGCCCCTATAGCAGTCATAGGGAAGGTAGGAATTGGAGGATGGGTTTAAGGGGAAAAGATAATGAGTTCGAAACATAATAGAGAAAGATAACAAATACTAATTTACTGACTGACAAGTTGCATTGCAAGAGGCTTATGACCTGTTAGGCATTTTACCACAGATGGCCCTAATACATGATGAAGAATTGCCATAGATGTCACGATCTGTGCTGTGTTCTAGATATTCTTGATGCTGTCATCATCTTAGAGTCACCACATTGCATTAGGAGACCCACTGTGGACTGCAAACATATGACTCTTTGGGAGGAAGGGTCATAGGTTTTCTTTTTTCCTTCTTTTTCTTTTCCCCTTAATACTGCCTTTGCCAAGACAATTGTCTAGTAAAAGCTATGAAGGTATCTAAATTGTGCAAGAGATTCCAAAAGATCCTTAGGACCTTGACATCATGGAGATAGCACATGATAGGACCAGGGTTCCCCATTTTCCTGCAATAGTAATTGGTTTTACCTAAAAGGCAACAAAACTATCTCTGGAACTTAATTGGCTCCTGCCTCCACTGACACAGCTTCCTGGTCACTGAAGGGCACTCACTCTGACTTAGTGGATGTCTGAAGACCACCAGAGTTACCATACCCTGCCCTACTATCCAGAATTCCAGAGGTTAGGTGCCACTATATCCTTGCAAATCCTTGCAGTGTTAGAGTAAAGTAAACCTCCTTTTATTAACTGTTCAATGCCTTTCAAGTAACTTGTTTTGTCCCAAAATTGAACCTGAACTAACAGGGTACTGGCCTTAGGCCTCTCCTGAACAACATCCCTTCAAATACTTGAAAGCAGCCTTTTCTTCTCAGGGTAAATCTCCCCAGTTCCTTCAAAGGAAGTTGCAAAGAGACAAATTTAGGTTTAATTTATGGGAAAATTTCCTATCCATTAGAGCAATGAGAAAGTGAAGTGGGCTGCCTTTGGATATATATTCCCCCTTATAGGTTTGGACCAGTTGGCTCTGAGATTCATTCAAGTTCTGAGATGCTCCTATTCTGATCTAGAGACTGACATTCCCAGCACCAGGCTAGAGGGAGGAGGGGAAATGAGTCAGAGAGATTGTGCTTGGAGACCCAACCAAAAGTGTATCCAGGTCCATCCAGTGTCAGGAACAAGTACCCACAGGTTACATATCCTAGGAGTTTTCTTTTTGAAGGTCTAGAGTACACCCAGGGCTATACCTGGCATTCTCTGTCCTTATTCCCTGCCAAGATGGCACTTCTTCCTTCCAAAATTCGCTTCATAGCTTCACTATCCAGTATGCTTTCCACTATAGCAGCAGAATCTTTTTTACTATGGTTAAACTTTCTAGCTTTGACTCCTAGAAGGACTCCTCTATTCCTTCAAATACTGTCCCAATTAAAAAACAAAATGACATATGCCTTTACAAGGTAAAATTTGGAAAATACATTTTCTTCTTATTTACCATAGCCATAAAATAGTCATTTTTGAAAAAAGCAGGAATCTACTTATTGATTCTATTTGGTGGCTGAATTAATAAATTTAATGGAAACAGAAGAAAACCTGCTTATAGTCAGACACATTTATGCTAATAAAAACAGAAAATATACAAATTATAAAAAGCAGACCAAGGATGAAGAGTAGGTGCAAAATTAGGTTCAATGACTTACTATGGCCAGGAAATTATGAAGAAGGAGCACCTCTAAAATATTGTTAGAAATTAATGCAAATTTGAAAATGGAAGTTTTAGTTAGAGAATGTGGGTCAATTGCAGCAACACTTACTTTGATGCTTTCATGGATCCATGATCTCTTCACTGTAGGAACTCCATTCATGCCTTCTTATTCTGCACCATTCTGGTCAAAGTCTTTCCATAAAACCTCTGCTGCTGTTTGTCCTTCATTCTTGAAGATGACCAAGACAATTGGTGGAGCTGTGAACTAATCCAGCCATTCTGGAAAGTAATTTGGAACTATGCCCAAAGTCCTGTAAAACTGTGCATACCCATCGACCACTGCTAGATCACTATCCCAAAGAGATTAAAAAAAGGGGAGGGGGGAAGGGCCTATTTGTACAAAAATTAATATAGGAGCTCTTTTTGTGGTGGCAAAGAATTAGAAATTGAGAGGATGACCATAAATTTGAGGAATGGCTGAACAAGTTGTAGTATATGATTATAATGGAATACTATTGTGCTATGAGAAATGACAAGCAGAATGCTCTCAGTAAAACTGGGACTTACATGAATTGATGCAGAGTGAAGTGAGCAGACCAGAACACTGTACACAATAACAGCAACATTATACAATTGACTTGCCCATTCTCAGCAATACAATGATCCAAGACAATTCCAAAGGACTCATGAGAAAAAATGCTATCCATCTCCAGAGAAAGAACTGATGGAGTCTGAATACAGATCAAAGCATACTATTTTTTCATTTATTTTTTTCATGGTTTTTTTTACTGTGTTTTCTTTCACAACATAACTAATATGGAAATATGTTTTACATGATTGCACATGTATAATCTATATAAATTGCTTACCATCTCAAGGAGGAGGGAAGGTAAGCAGGGAGAGAATTTGGAACTTAACATCTAAAAAAAATGTTAAAAATTGTTTTTACAAGTAATTGGGAAAAATAATAAAATATTATTAAAAAAATAAAATAACCAAAACTTCTAGCAAAGATCTGAATGGGATATCCCAGTGAAGACTTCTCAGTGTAATTAAGGTAATGAGTTCAGAAGGTAGTGTGAGAAATGAACTCTCAAAAGTGAAGGCTCCTAAAAGGGTCAAATCATTCTTGATTATTATTTTCAAAATCCTCCCCCACTCAGACCCTGTTTTTAAGCATGTAACAGAAACAATAAGTCCTGCCCCACCCCCAACTTGAGTCTTTGCCCTTGGCTTCCTGCCTCTTTCCCTATCTTTGAATTTTGGGCCTGGAATGTAAGCCCCACCTCCCAGTTAGAATGTAAGCCCACCCCCAGTTAAGGGGGTAAGGGATAGTGGTGGGTTGATACTTCTTTGCTGGTGGGTGGAGACTTGTTTGCATAGTGGGTGGAGACTTTGCATGGTAGGCGGAGAATTGCTTTTATAAGGCGGCCCCTGTTAGGAGGTCCATCCTATAAGCTGAAGATTTGTCGATTCTTTTAAATTGGTGGATGCTAGTACAGAATGTGGGCTATCTGTTATGCCCCACTCTCATTAAAATCTTCTAAATGTTCTCATTAGTTCATTGATATATAACATTTTAATGACCTTAAGAAATGAGGCTGAGTTTCTGGTTTTTCCCCTGGGAGTCTTATTTTATTCTTTGGTGAGGCAATTGGGGTTAAGTGGCTTACCTGGGGTCACACAGCTAGGAAGTATGAAGTGTCAAGTGTCTGAGGCCGAATTTGAACTCAGGTCCTCCTAACTCCAAGCCAGTGCTCTATCCACTGCACCATCTAGCTGTCTCTTCCCCCGGAGGTTTTATAAAAAGGAAGCTTTTATACCACAATACCATTAAACTGGATTACATCTCAGATGGAGTAGGAGTAGAAGGTTCAGAGCAAAGAGGACAGCAAGGAGGCCACCTGAAACCACACAAAAATGTCAAAAGCTATGTTATAGCCACATACTCAAGAAAGAAAGAAAACTCACACCAACATAAATTTGTGCTTCTTATTCAAAGATGATACAGTTGTATAAAACACTATCAAATCAATAAACATTTACAAAGCACCTACTATGAGCAAGGTACTATATTAGGCTCTATAGATACAAAGATGCATAGTCCTTGAGCAGAGGAAACTTCTACCATAATGGAACAGGGCATCATATTAAACTCTTCATATGTACAAGAGAAGTGTAATACATAGTAAGGAGTGATAGGAACACAGAAGAGATTCAGATAGGTTCTCGAAAAATTTGAGGAAGAGGATACTTTTAACTGTAAGAATGAGGAAAGGCTATATGGAGGAGACACCTAAAGGAAAAAGAAAGATTCTGAATGTTGATTGCTGTAATAATTTTCATTGTCAGTAAGTTTTCTTTTCTGCTTCTTATCCTAAAGGAATATTTTTAAATTCTGTTCCATTACCTTTATCTAATCCTATTTGTAACAGAATGAACTATTCTTTTCTCTTGGTATTTCCTTTCTTCATAGAAACAGAGAAATCTCAATATTTTGCAAAAATTACACTTACTTTCCTTCCCCAGATTAGCTTTTTTCTCAATTTTGAATTCCTCCTCCTACTTACTTCTTATTCATTATAATTGCTGTCCCTTAACTCTACTTTTTAAACAATTTAAATATGTTAGTCATTCTTTTTAGTGTCACAATCTCATCTAAAATCTTCTCAAGCCTCCTGTTGATGTGAAGGTGATCCTATGTTTTTCTATAAACAGTGTTAATTGGGTTCAGTCCCTCCTAAGTCTCACCAAGTTGGAGGGCTTTTGAGTATAGGCTCAATCATGTTTAAGCTACAGGGAAGATGAAATCATTAAGAGATATAAAAGGCTGACTTCAGATATAGAGAAAGGCACAGAAAAGAAAATTCATGGGAATTGGGACTTTTTCAGTTAAAGGAAGTGCACAAGCATGACACATGATTGTGAATTTGGTACAAATTCTTCTGTAACATGAATAATGGTTCCTAAAAACCTATATATTATAGTATATCAAAGCTAAAGATATGTGGTAGATAGAATCAGATCACGTGGAGCCTGTGGGCATAGAAAGAAAACAAAGGTGTGCCTGATCACCCTAGTTCGGTTCTCCCTTACCACCCACCTCCTAACTGCAAAAGCCATTGGACAAACTTTGATGTCTTTACTTTTTGATCCTAATGAATAAAATTCAAACTCTTTTGCCTGGTGTTCAAGGCCCTTTACAATCTGGGCTGAATTCCCTTTTCCAGCTTTATCGATACTCCATGCTCCAGCCAAACTGCCCTACTTCCTGTCTCCCACACTCTCCCACCTTTGTGCCTTTTTTTTTTTCAAGTTGTGTCTTATATCTGGAAAGTTCTTCCCCAGCTTAATCCCTCTTGAATTCTTATCCATCCTTTGAATCCTTGCTTAAATGCACTCTCCTCAAGTCAGTTTATTTGAACTTCACCTCTTCCCTCAAACTTCCTCTTAGCTCTTACAAAGTCCTTTCTTTGCCCCTGATAAAAATCATTCAGTATTATTGTGTATTATAGGCAACCCTATGTGTCATATCTTTCATGAGACTGAAAGTTCTATATGACAGGGACCTTGTCCTATCCCGACTGCTGCATTTCACAAATTTGCTCTGCACAAAGTAAATGCTTATTAATTTTTTAAAAATTGTGAAAGGTGACAGAACTGGAAGACACAAGGAGATTAGTGAGAAACAAGTTCATGAATGCCGAAGCAGACAGACGTGGTGTAGGGGTAGCAGAGCTGCACAGGTTGTAAGAGGTAAGGGAGTCAAGGGGAAGAAGAACTCATTTATGTTGGGGCTTAGCAGCTGCGGGTGAAGACTGAGAGGTGAGGATTCAGCTCATGCCCAGATCCTGAGGGTCACGGCAACTGAGAAGATGGCAGGAATGGGGACTGACGGACTGGCAGAATTTTAGGGGTCAGCATCGTCTGAGAGGAAAGCAGACACTTTTTTTTTTAACTCCCAGAGGACTCTGAAGTCTGGCACTCTGAGGGTTCAGAGGCTCAGGGGAGTCTTAGGCAGGCTTAGGAGGTTCTGAAGGATTGACTGGCAGAGAGCCTGAGCGCACAGCGGACCCTGGGCCCCGGGGCCGACCGAAAAGGGAAGGGGGACCCAACAAAGGCCAAGGGAACAGTGGGCCTTGGGGCTTTGGGGCGCGACAGAAAGGGGCCCTGAAGGAGGGCACACGGTTTGGGACTCCGGGCGTGTAGCAGCCTAGGCCGCTTCCCTTCCCCGCTCCCCTCTCTCCCTCCCTCCCTCCCTCCCTCCCGGCCGGGCGGAGGCCCCGCCCCTTTTCCCGCCTCCCCGCCGTGCGTGCTTACGTCATCACTCGGCGCCGCCCCCCCAGTGGCTATAATGGAAGCTGGGCCGCTGGTCTCCGGGGCTGCTCCGTCGCTCCCTCCCGGCCTGGCTCTGTCATCTTCCGTCATGAGCTGGACGCGGGCGGCCCCGGGTCTCTGACTGCGCCCCCGGAGCCCAGGCAGCCCCATGGCCGCGGTGTCGGCATCGGCGGCCCCCGGGGCCGGAGGAGCGGGAGCCGGGAGCTCGAGCCCGCCGCCGGCGGCGTCCGCTCGCAGGGACTTCTACTGGCTGCGCTCCTTCGTGGCGGGAGGTGAGGACGGGGGCGGCGGGGCGGAGTCAGGAGGCATTAATGAAGCACCAGCTGTATGCCAGGCGCCTGCTGAGCTCTGGGGCCAGAAAGACGCCAGAGGGTCCCTGCCCTCGAGGAACTCGCAGTCTAATGGGGTGTTGGTAAAGTCCTGCGGCCGGCGGGGCAGGCGTTCGAGGAGGTCGGGCTTTCCGAATGGATTTCCTCCTGCGGAGTGATGAGTCCTGGGGCTTGAGGGAGCCTGGCCGGGAGATGACGAGAGGGCTGTTTGGGGGCTCCAGGGGCGGAGGGAAGGCGCAGTCTTGGAGTCCCGGGGCTCCGAGAGGAAAGCCGAGCCTAGGCTGGCTGTCAGCTGTCCTTCAGAGAGGGAAGGAAGCTAGAGGCTGGGTGGCTGGCTGGTGAGGTAACTGGGTCCTGGGAGTCTGGGGGAGTTAAAGAAGTCGGCCTTCCAGAGCCCCCGACCCAGGCTGGGTTTCCAAGACCATAGCCATTTTAGGGGCCCCTGCATCCCAAGGTGCCCCTGAGATTGGAGGTGCAATGACATCTGGTAATCGCACCGAGTAACTCCTCTGGAACCAGAGATCTGCTTGACATCTCCTGGAGCATTTCTGGATATGGCTTCATTTCCACCAGCCAGCTGTTTGCCTTAACACTCTTTCCTCGTGCTCCTCAGCCCCCTTGTTTACCCCTAGAATCGCGGCTCTTCCTGCGCCGGGATCTTCCAAGAGGCGAAGGGGAGCTAGCGTGGGGCAGTGAAAAGTGCTAGATCTGGCCTCGAAGGGCCAAGAGACAGAGGGGTGGTGCGGTGGATCGAGTGTGCTGTTCTCCATGCCTCAGCTGTGTGACTCTGGAGAAGTCACTTAATCCAGCCTCAGTTTACTTATCTGTAAAATGGAGAAAATAGCACCTACTTCACAGTGATACTTCATAGGATCAAGAGAGGTAACAGGAGCAAACCATAAGGTGCGATATATACTTTTATTATTATTGGATCACAGAACTTAAAGAAGGGACCTTAGCACAGTGCTTAGGGGCTTAACAAATGTTTGCTGATGGAAGAATGAATCCCTAGTTTTTGTAAGGCGTAACCTTGGCAAGCCTTACCTTTTCTTTTGGTTCCCATACGTGTACAGTGAGGGGGTTGTATAACCCAGCAGTCCATTGTACCGGGCTGCCTCAAGCTTTTTTAGTCACTTCTCACTCCTTCCCAGTTTCTTATCCAATAAGATGGCCTTATCCAATCCAGGAAACATTTTTAAACACCTTTTATGTGCCAGACACTGTGCTAAGAGCTGGGGTAACACTTAATAGAAGGGAAAATAGTTCCCACCCTTAAGGAGCTCACTGTCTAATGGGGGGAAACAATCAGGAATTCTAACTGAACCACTATGTTCTGTTTCTAAAGAGAAACAGATTGAATGCCTTGGGTCGGAGTTGGTAATGGCAGGGAAATTATGCAGACCTGACTTCAGCCGAATGGGCACACACCTGGAGCAGTTCTCTGGCTGTGCTAGAGAGCCTGCAGCACAGAATGGTCATGACTAGTTTTACGGACTTCCAAGAGGCTTTTTCATATCTACTCCCTATTCATTCTCACCCTTCATAGGCTGGCTGTCTTTGCTTAAATTTTTTTTTTCACTTAATTTGATAAGACTTTGGGGATTTAGACGTGATAATTGAATGTCTTGGTTAAAAAGCTTCTCTGTTACTATAGCAATTTTATAGGACAAGGACAGGACTGAACCTTTGATTTTACTGGTATATATAACTTTCAGGTGAGGAAAGTTCCCCTACCAGTGCAGGTGGTCCTCTCTGCATTTTATAGAGAGTTGCTTAGAGTGCTGTTGCCCAGGGTCACATATATGTTTCAGAGACAGGGCTTGAACCTGGTGGCATTGAGACAGAGATCTGGGCCAGGCATTAGGAAGACCCGTGTTCAAATCTCAAGACATTTCCTAGCTTTGTGACCCTGGGCAAGTCACTTCACCTCCGTTTGCCTCAGTTTTCTCAATCTGTAAAATGTGCCTAATAATAGCATCAGTTCCCCCCAGCCCCACCCATGGTTGTTGTGAGGATCAAATGAGAATATTTGTAAAGCACCTGGCACATAGGAGGTGCTAAGTAAATGCTCTTTCCTTTCCCTCATTGAACTTTGAGGCTAGCTTTCTAGTTGTTATGCTGTTCTACCTCTTAGCAGTTTTATAGATTTATTTTGTCAGTGCAGTGGGCCAATATAGAAAGAAGGCATACCCATTTGTAAAGTTCCTATTTCCATATAGTCAGTTATCTTAGGAATTAGCCACAGAAAGTTCTTAACCCCAAACTGGTTCTTAACCCTAAATGCATGTGCCTTCCTGGCCTGGAACTCAGAAGACCTGGGTTCTAGTCCCAGCTGTGTTGTCTTCTGAGCTTCAATTTCTTCTTCTGTGAAAATGCCTAATCTACATACCAATAGGAGGACCCACGTGTACAAAAATATTCATAGCAGCTCTTTTTGTGGTGGCAAAGAATTGGAAATGGAAGGGATGCCCATCCATTGGGGAATGGCTGAACAAAATGTGGTATATGAATGTAATGGAATACTGTTGTGCTATATGAACTGATGAACAGGCAGACTTCAGAAAAAGCTGGAAAGACTTGTATGGACTGATGCTGAGTGAAGTGAGCAGAACCAGGAGAACGTTGTCCACAGTAACAGCCACATTGGGAGATGACTATAGACCAGCATATTATTTGCTTTCTTTTTTGTTTCTTTCTCATGATTTCTTGGATTTATTCTAATTCTTTATGACATGACTAACGTGAAAATATGTTCACTATGAATGTATATATAGAACCTATATCAAATTGCACGCTATCTTGGGGGGGGAGAGGGGAGTGATGGGGGAAAATTTGGAACTCAAAATCTTATGGAAGGGAATGTTGAAAACTAAAAATAAATAAATTTTTAAAAAGAGAAAAATGCCTAATCTATCCCACAGGTTTATTTTGAAGATCAAATGAAATAAAATAGGGATGATATAAATATTTTGTTTTTCCCAATTACACGTAAAAACAAATATTTTAACATTCATTTTTTAAAAATTTAACTTCCAAATTCTCTCCTTCCCTCCCTGTATCCCAGAGACAGTAAGCAGTTTGATGCAGGTTATACACGTGCAATCATGCAAAAGGCATTTCCATTTTAGTCATGCTGTAAAAGAAGACACAGACCAAAAAAAAAGGGAAAAATAGCTTGCTTTGATCTGCTCCGTGCCCCTAACTCCTGAGATGTGGAAGGGATAACTGTGCAATCACGCACAATAACTTGTTCAGCCATTCCCCACTTGGTGGACATCCTTTAAATTTCCAGTTCTTTGCCACCACAGAAAGAGCTGCTGTGAATATTTTTGTACATGTGGGTCCTTTTCCCTTTTTTTGATCTCTTTGGTTTTCTCTAGTCCTTTTCCTAATTTCTAGGGTGTGGTGCCTGCCCTTCAGCCAAGAATTTTTATCTCATCCAAATTCAATATCCTTTTTTTTTTTTTTTTAGTGAGGCAATTTTGGGGTTAAGTGACTTGCCCAGAGTCACCCAGCTAGTGAGTGTCTGAGGCCGGATTTGAACTCAACTCCTCCTGACTTTGGGGCAGGTGCTCTATCAACTGCGTCACCTAGCTGCCCCCTTTTTGATCTCTGGGATGCAGACCTAGTAGTGGAATTGCTGGGTCAAAGGATATGCACAGTTTGATTGTCCTTTAGGTATAGTTCCAAATTGCTTTCCAGAATGGTTGGATCAGTTCACAATTCCAGCAACAGTGCATTAATGCGGGACAATAGAAATATAACAGTGTTTTAATTGGTGCTTATTGGACTTTCCTTGCTGATTATTCTAATGGTATGTTGTGATGGTAATGTTTTGACAGTGTTGAAACAGTGGAAAGAATGCAGGGCTACTGGTTTGGAGTTTTAATCTCGGCTTTGGCATGAAACTCTGTAAACTTAGGCATACTAAGTCTCTGGGCTTCAGTTTCTTCGTTTCTCTGTAAGGAGACTGGCACGGATGCCTGCCCATGCTCAGCTCAAGCATATTGTGTTAGTTCTCTGAATCTATGGACTTTTAAAAAAATGACCCCCATTCTGTGACTGCTTTTCTTCCATGAGTTCAGATATCCCAGAGTGCTCTTTGTCAGCTGTTTGAAATGGCTCCCAGAGAGGCCTCGTGGCTCAGCGTAGAGGCACTGGCTTGGTGGAAGGAGGCAGCAGTCATCCAAGAGCACCATGCTGATGGTCATCGAAAACTTGCCCAACAACCTGGTGCAGTAGGGTCTTACCATTGGAAAGGATACTAATACCGTCCTCTGTTTTAGGCACAAGGCTTCCAGAAACAATTTAATCTAATGTTAATCTGATAAGTCATTTCTGCCTTTAGATGTCTACACTGGCGTAGTTGACCCATGCTCTCCAACATAGACGAGTTGAGGTAACATTTCTGTCAATGGCTCTCAAAACTTTTTGGTCTTAGGACCCCTTTACTAAAAATTATCAAGAACTTTTGTTTCTATGAGGTTAGATCTGTCCACTTGTATTGGATGATAGAATGGCTGGAAAACTTGACTTTAAATCCAGCTTCAGATTCTCACTAACTTTGTAACCCTGGGCAAGTCACTTAAACCCAGTTTGCCGAAGTTTCCTCAGCTGTAAAATGTGGTTAAGAACAACAGCTGTCTTGAAGAGTTGTTGTGAGGATCAAATGAGAGAATTGTAAAGAGCTTAGCTTAGTGTCTGGTACATGGTAGGCTGTATAAATGCTAGTGGATTTGGGCAGAATTTGAATGTGGGTCTCTTTTAAGTTCCAAAAAGCTATTTTTATTAAAATATTTAACCTCCCTAGGCCTTGGCTATGTTTTATACTACTACAGTCCTGTTTTATAATCCTACAGAGGTTGGAAAGTCATTATAACCTTGAGCATGGATTTTTTGACATTTATACAGAGTTTTCAAGTTGGCAGAGTGCTTTATTTGGGACATTTTGTGTTATTTTATTTGAATATCTTTGTGAGAAAGGCACTATATAGAAATAACATTATTCAGGTTATCCACATTTTGCAGATGAAGAAATTGGGGCAGCATTATTTGCCTGTGGGCATACAGCTAGTTAAGTATCAAAGATATTTGTTGCCTGGATGGTAGCCTCATTTAGCCCTCTACTGTTTAAAAACAAAGCCAGAAAACCCCCCAATAAAACACAAAAAACAGCAGAGTGAGTAGGGCAGCCACAGTGTTGTTTTTATATGTGAAAGGAAACAACCTTATTTCTTTTTTTATTTTGTGTGGTCATTAGATATTCAAGCTCAGGTACTATTAGGAATGCAAGTTAATCTTCAGCGAAATATTTAAAGTAACTCTGTAAAAGTCCCCACATGTTTGGATTAGGCTTCTTTGTCTTGAAAACATGTATAAAGTTTTGACGTGGATTTTCTAAGGAGGGGATACAGCCGACTTGAAAAGCAGCCAGCCCTCTAGGAGTCAGAACATCTGGATTTGCAGAGCCCTTGTCGCTGACTTACCGTATTACCTTTGGCAAGGTCCTTAACCCCTGGAGACTGAGTTACCTTGTGTGTAATCTTTGTTTTGTCTGCCTCCCAGGGTTCCCAGGAGGACCCACTGCTTTGTTAAGGCATCAAGCCCCCTATGGAGATGAATGAACTGTTTCCTGTGCATGTTTTTATGTTGTGTCTAAAGTGTCATGCGAGATTTTACAGAATCCACTGTCCCGGTTGTGCAGAGGTCTGTAACAAATATTCACCTTTCCTTTCTCTTGTTTTTAATCTGCAGGTATTGCAGGTTGTTGTGCCAAAACCACCATCGCACCTTTGGATCGAGTGAAGATATTGCTACAAGCGCATAATCACCATTACAAACATTTAGGTGAGTCGAGTGATTGCTTTTACCAGGCCCAGGGGAATGAGTACTTAATAAATACTCGTTGATTGATTGCGAAATGAAAAGCCCTAATTAATGGCTCCAAAATGTAAAACTGCTCCACATGAGAAGTTTGGTATCTGAGAAGTAAAATAGTGGGAGCATGTTTGGTTTCTTGCATAACTCAAGACCTTTCAAGGCCTGGTCATTAAACTGTGCAAAAGGTGAAGGGGAATGGAGCCAACTGTGCTGATTGGTACCAAGTTGTTACTATTTTTGTTTTTTTTTTTAGGGCTTTGGGTTTTTTTCTTCCAGGAAGGAGCAGGAGAAAGAAAATATGAGAGGATGAGAATTTGAGGAAGAGAAAGAATATGAGAAAAACAGAAAAAAAGTTTAAAGGAAGGATCTGCAGGGTTGAAGTTTTTAGTATTTAGTATTAATACAGTAAAATCTCAATCAAATAATGAATGTTCAATTAATCTGTTGAATTTTAAATAGTTTACTTCCCATAAAGTCATTTCCATGGTGTTAGAAATAGCTGATTTCTTTAGCTTTGGCAAATAAATCAATGAATGCATTCTTGGACCAGATGTAATATTATGAAATAATTGCTTTAAAGTGTATGAAGTTGTTGTCAAACAGCTTTTTAATATGAGGTAGAATCAAACTCTCTTAAGTTCTGAGCTCTAACCATTATACCATCTAGCTAGAAGGCACACAGACTAAAGTAAAAAGCTTTTAATTTAGGAACTTCACTGTAGCATGTAGATTGTCTGGGTATCTGTGCGCAGTGTGGTTTGCTATTGTGCTGTACATAGCAGTTTTGAATTTTTTGTCTTATGCCTACAAATTCAATGCATGATTGTATTTAGGGATTAATTTTTCTTTTGTATTAGTATTTTGAAAGGAAGTAGAAGGTAGAGAAGAACTAATATGATCAGTTATGTTATACTAATGTTTAGAAATTATTTTACATGTAACTACCTCTGTCTAACTTGTCTTCTATAACCAGCACACACTAATTGATGTGTGTTGTTTTAGTTTGTTGATCTGCGGTCTTGAGATTGTATATTCACTTAGAATCCATGATCCCTGGGGGCCAGCTGAATTGTACAGCCTGCTCCACAAGACTTACGAAATTTGCAGCGAAGATTTTACAGAATAAATAGTTGAAATCTAATATGTAGCCTGTCTTTTAAAAAACAAAACCAAGGATACGTGAACATAAAAGCCATTCATTATATAATGGTGTCATAAGACCAAAGTCACATCTGGCCACAGTAGGAGAGTGATAAAGATAAGATAAATTATTGGCTCTGACACAGATGTTATTTTAAATGTGCAGAAGTGGTTTATATACATCTCATTTTAAGAGAATTGTTAGCTTTTCACTTGAATTTAGGTAGGGTTTTTTCCGAATGGAATGAAATTAAAATATCTTTGTTCCCATTCCCTCATCTCTCCCAAAAGAAATTTACTCTAGGTCAGAATAAACATGAGATATTTCAACCTAAAATATTTTTCTCACATTATTTGGAAGGTTTTAGGATTTAGTCATGATAGAGTAGAAAGAACATTGACTTAGGAGGCCCAAGTTGAGGTCCCAGCTTGCCTTTCTAGCTTTGTGAGCTGAATTCTCAAGATTCTTGAGGTCTCTGGACCTCAATATACTCCTTAGTAAATAAAATGAGCAGAGTTCTCAAGTTCTTCTGCTAAAAACTGTTCATTCTGGGCTACCTTACTAAAGTAAGAAAGGCCTGCCTACTTCACGTACATTAGTGATTACTGCATGTAAATTCCTAACTGGATTATGACAAGTAAGTAGCAAGGCCTTCCAAAGGAATTACATCTAAATTCAGTTTATTGAAAATTTTTACTTGTAACATCTATAGAAATGGAGAGAGCTGGTCTGGGTGCAGATCTTAGCATGGTGAGACCTAAGGCTCCAGGCTCAGGATTTCTGAAGTTCTTGTTCCTGTAAAATAGTAAAGTTGGTATTTCTGCTTTCCCCTTCTCTGTGTACCTCCCTGCCTCTCCACAGCTCTTGGTACTCTGTAATCTTTTATATAAAGTAAGGGAACTATAATTTTAAGTACTGGGATAATGTTAAAAGTTTTATTGAATCATTAAAAGTATCTTGATAATGGAAGAATGTCAGAAAATTTTGCCTAATTAACAATCTGTGCTTGAGAACATCTGTCTAAATGGTAAGAGAAAAAATTTATTAACAAGATTTCATGGGAAGTGCCTTTCTTATTGCTAATAAATAGCATAAGTAACACATGTATAAGCAATAGGAGACCAGAATGCTACATTTTTTAAAGGTTGGTTTTTTTGGACTAAGATGTGCTATTTCCTAGTACTAACACTTCAATGGAATCCTTATAATAATGCAAAGTGGTAAAACAAAAAAACCAACATTTCAGCTACAACATATGACAACAGCAGCCGCATACGCAGGGTCCATCCGTGTAGCTCACCTCTCTACCGACCCCAGTGTGGTTTCATCCCCACACCAGGTCTCTGTAAACCAGACAAGATGTGTTTCGTTTGAATACTTATGGCCTTAGTGTTGTTCACTGTATTATTAGTGTGTATGTTGTTCTCCTATATTGTTTTGCGTCTGCGTCAACTTCAGACAAGTCTTAGCATCTTTTTCTGAAGTAGTGTATTTCATTGCTTTTGGCACAATAACGTTCCAGTCTGTTCTCTGACATCTTTTAAGCCGATTTGCCAGACAGTTCCTCCTATGTAATGTATCATATAGTAATATAAAACTGTACAGCTTGCTTGTGCCTCTCCCATACTCTTTGTGATCCTTCTCTTCAGTTCTTTGGCAACTGGTGTTCTATGATTTGCAACTGTATATCACCAGAAGAGTATTGGTTAATAGATGAGTCTTTGTTTCATTGAAAGTAGGGGTTACTAAAAAACTGCAGTTTCTCAGAGGCTACCTAGTTCTCCTGTTCCATGCTGTTCATTTGGATTTCTGCTTTACCCCTGGTGTTACTGGGAAAGCTTTTAATGGTTCTATTACAAATACCATCTCTTTGTTTTAGCTCGATACTCTTGTTTAAATTAGCGTTAAATGCTTTAAAAAAGGATTGTGTGGAATTTTCAGAAGTGTAAATGGGGAGGATTATTATGAAATGAATGTGATATAAAATCAGAATGTTTTAACAAAGCATTTTAAATCTTTAACGTTTGGGCTAGTTTTTAAATCTGACTCATCATTTTTGTACCTACTATACACATTTCTGTTACCAAATGCTTAAATAAAAGAATTTGCTTTAATTTATGGCTTTTTCTTGAGTAGATAGGATGATTGCTTTCATTTTGTGATATTTATTGTTACATAACTTATTACCTTTTGTGTAATTATTTCTGTGAATAAAATGATTATGAAACATTTTTGTCTTTATGGTATTGTGTTAAATGTTGATGGCTTCTCCATTTTGAATTTGAAAATCTCTTTTCTGAAAAACAGGAGTGTTTTCGGCATTGTGTGCTGTTCCCAAAAAGGAAGGCTATCTTGGTTTATATAAAGGAAATGGAGCAATGATGATTAGAATCTTTCCATATGGTGCAATTCAATTCATGTCCTTTGACCATTATAAAAAGGTAATGTAACTGTTGTCTTATTTCCTTACCTTAGTATTTGCATTTGACTAGTACTGAGAATACTTTTGCTTATAAGCAAGCCTTTAGAGTACTCTGGTTAAGGGCCCATAAATGTTGCAGGAACACACATGTCTGACTTCTGATTGTTCTGTTTGTTTTTAAGTTAACCTCCTTTGGAGCTTGATGGTTTAGAATCAGAGCTAGTCAGCTTGTCATTATTCCTGCTTAGGAATAATGCTTAGAAGCATGGCTGATCGAGGGTAAAAATCATTCCTGTTGGGCTTTAGCATTTGCCCCTGCAGCAAGCTACTCCTTATTATATGGACTAGAACATGTCATAGAATATAAGCCCTGAGATGGCAGGTACTTTAATCTTTTCATCCTCCAGCATCTAGCGCAGTTATGTAGACGAAGAGCCACTTAATGAGTGTCTGAAAATTTGATTATAGCAGAATGTGATGTTTGGGGATGATCTGGCTCTGTGAAAGTCAGGTAGTCCATGGGGTCTGCAGTGACCATGCATGCTGGCCCTCTTCTACTTCTCTGCCTTAGTTATAGAATTGCCTCCAGTGCGGAGAGTCCACTCAGTTATCTGTTCAGTCAGCTGGTGTCCATCAGTCTGACTTGAACTCAGGTCCACTTGGCTTCGAGGCCAACTTTGTCAGCCATAGTACATAGCCTTGTTCCCAGAAGATGCAAACAAGGCATTGCAGCTTACTTACCACACTTGCTATTAGGCAGCTCCCTGGTGGCTTTCTAAGGTACAGAAGCTTCAGAGCAAACATTTAATCCATGTCTTTCATCGCTTTTTGTTTTATAATTGTAAAGGGCCTGGCACATAGTAGGCACCATATAAACTCTTATTCCCTTTTCCCTTGGTTTCATAACTTGGAATGTTGTATTCTATTGTACCTTGCAGAGGCCTGCAGTATTTTTGTTACTGACTTACTTATTGATCTGTGATTTTATGAGATGTTCAGGATGAAAATGATCCTTTTAGCCTATTTTATTGAATTTACTATTTATCTTATAGTTAATTACCACAAAACTTGGGATTTCTGGACATATACACCGGCTAATGGCTGGCTCCATGGCAGGTAGGAATGTGTATATTTTAGTTCTATAGTAATAGATACATTACACATAGTAATATGTATGTATAGTATATGTAGTATACATATAGTGATATGTTGTCATATCTTCCACAAAAATACTTCCAGTATTAATTTTTCTTGTATTATTTACCATATCCATGTGCTTATCTTTAAGACTGGCTACTTTATAAAGAAGGAAATGGCAAACTATTTCAGCATCTTTGCCAAGAAAACCCGAAATGGGGTTACAAAGAGTTAGATATAGCTGAAAAACCACTGAGAGACAACTTTATAGAAAAAGGGACAGTTCCTTTATGAGGCCCTTTAGTAGCCAATTGACTAAGACCCTTGGACCCCGTGGGAGGTGATAGCAGGGACACTAATGAGGGGAGGTGCTTTGGGCTGAATACTTGTGGTGTTTCAGTCTCTCTCTGAGCTTCTTGTGTGGTCTGAGATGATGGACTCTATTCCAGATGATAAGCAGTAACCCTCTAAGGCCCTGGTGTGGCAAGGCAAGGCTGAGTTGGGTAAGGAGCCCCATTCTAGCTTAAAAAGCACCAGAAATCCTGTTGTGGTTCTCAGCTTCCTTAATGCCATTTATCAGGGGCCCTCCAGAGCACTCATGGGAGCCTTTTGATTTTGTTCTCAGGCCTCCTCAGAGACTTCCTGGATTCACCTCTCACCTTGTTGCCTAGCTTCATGATGACATGCGTTGTCATCAAACCACTAGTGGTTTGAAACTCATGGTGGTGGTGTTTTTAAAAAATGGTGAAATTTGGTACTAAAATTCTAAAGAGGTTCTGACGAGGTGGAGTGATAGGGTAGAAAGAATGTTGGCATTGGATTCAGAAGACTTGAGTTTAAATCCCACGTTGGCTGCAAAGTTGCAATATGATGTTGAATAAATCGCTTAACCTCACTGAGCCTCAGCTTCTTAATCTGTAAAAACGGAATAACAATAGTTGCCCTATTTCCCAGGTTGGTTTTTAAAGCAAAGCACTTTGTAAATTGTAAAGCCATAGGATTATATGGGCTATTATTAACAGTAATACTGGCATCATACCTAGTATCTGTATCTGATCACTTTCTATTTTAAGTAGCTGCTTTGTGTTTTTTTGACCTGCATATTGCTCACAATTTGATGTAAATTTTAAGCATTCTGTAATTCGCCAACTAATTCTTTCCTGCAAGTAATTAAAGTTCAGGGATAACTTATTCTTTGTGCTGAAAAAACAAAACAAAACAAAACACTTGTGGTGCTTGCCTCCTGATAATTTGCGGACTCTACCAGCTGAGTGGCCCAGGGGCAATAAAGTAGAAGTAACTATAGCAGCAGATGTTACAGTCTTTCCTCAGTTACAGTGTATAAAGAATAGACTCAGAGGAAGCATCTTCCTCTTACTGCTATACCCTGGTATTGTGTTTTAATATAACTTTAACGAAAACGTTTTACTTTTTCTATTATGCACCTACAGGCATTAAGGGATGGAAGGAGGGGAAAAAAGTGCCGATGAGATGTATTCCTTCCTTGGAGGACTTGGGAATGTTGGGATGTAGTCCATCCCATAATTTTAATACCAAATACCACATAAAATGTAAGAGAGACAAACAGTGATGTGTGAGGTTCAAGGGAGAATTTACTTACTGGAGGCTCAAAGAAGACCTCAAAGAAAGGAAGATTTGAGTTGGACTTAAAAGGAGGGTTGGGATTCCACAGCAAGGGAAGAGAAGGATTACAGTGTGGTACTTTATTCCAGGCTTTTTACTTTTAGCTCACTGTGTACCACATAGCTTCTGGGGGTAAAAAGCAAACAAACCAAAGCTTTGCAGGAAAGCTGCAGGATGACGTTTGACAGGAGTTAGATCCAAAAAGACTTTGGGCTTTTGTGGCTTGATATAAGTCCTTTGGTGTTTCTGCCCTTTACTTATTGGGCAGTGTCTGCTCTTTCGAGGACGTGCCCACTTCACAGAAGCACAGCTTGAGTTTACTTTGTGGTTAGTGTTTTCACATTTGTGTGAAAAGATTTTGTGATGAAAATGATTTCAGATACAGTAGAGGCAGGGCAGCATACTAAGAATGTCTTTTTTAAAGAAACCTTTGGATCCCCCAGAAGTCACACTTAGGGCTCTGGCAGCCCTAGCCCTGTAGGATTGCTTCGTGTTTAGTACCAGCCCAGGAGAAGCAGAGACTTGACTCATTGCATGTAATTAGATACAACATACATTTTGTTTACATAAGTTAAAGGATGGTCTGATTAAAGTGGAAATGTATCTTTTTATCTCGCTTCTCTTAAACCTTTGAGAGATGATTTTAGCTAATTTTTTGTAGGCCACACAGTCATTTAAAGTTTATGTATTTGTAGAAGTTTTTTAAAAAGATGTGCTTCCCCATAGCTTTGTAAGTTTCATGTGTCTCTTTTAAAACTCTAAGGAATTTCATCATCCTTTTCCTTCCCTCATCCTACAACTACAATCCAGTATGTCTTGAGTCTTCCAAGAAGGCACAGAAATGAAGAGTCAAGGTTTCTGTTTTCAAAGAGTGAGCCTTCCCCTTGTTCTTTGTGTGTTCCTCCTCTCCCTGAAAACATTCCTTCTCTTTCCTTCTGCCAGTGGCCATTTACCATTAAAAACCCCAAAATAATGATCAGTGTGATGGAGGCAGAAAATAAGGTGTCAGAGATGAGTAAGTAGATGGATGAACAGATTTGCCTATTATCTATCTATTGGTTATTCCAGTTTTGGGGGCAAACTTGATGAGTAGGCCAAGGGTTAAGATTTTGGTAGTAGGGAAGGGCTGGAGTCATGTAGGTGGGGTGCTAGCTCCAGGCTCCCACTGGCTCACTGTAACCCTGGCATGTTGTATATCTCTAGGACTCCTTTTCCTGGCATATAAAATGGGCATAATAAAACCAGTGTTATAGATTAATGATTACATGTGAAAGCCCATTGAAAAGTCAAAAGCACTAAACAATTGTGAAGGTTTATTAATAAACTAACCATGCCATTGACTGACTGCATGTTTTTAGATGGGCTATCTGTGTCATTTTCCCTTTATATACTTAATCTCTACAAAGAAATAAAAACATTTATGTCGAATGTTTCTATTCATTTACGAAAGGCAGAAAGGTTTGGAAGGCAAGTGCTCTGCCCCAGTGCTGTCCATGTTTTTAAAAGTACCTTGAAGCTTGTTTCACAATTCAGAAGTAGATTCTCATATGCATCTTTTCCCCCCTCCCCCACCCCACCAATACTGGCCTATCTCCAAGTGCTTTTGTTTCTTCTATTTTTAATTATAAGAACTGATGGTCAAATTTTAAAGATATGTTAATATCATTCATGGTCATGCTCTGGCTATCCAGTTTGCAGCTTTTAAGTCCCAGATGGCGTTTTTACCTGCCACCTATGACTCTTGGGATCTCTTAATTTCTGTATGACTGGACTATTTTATAGAAAATGGTCCTGGAGCTCCTGCTTAGTGTGCCTGACTATAGTATCTCAGTAATTATGAGTTCTACTTTAGGCCTTCTCTGTGTCTTATTTAAACTGACAAGTTCTATACCTACCACCCCTCTGGTACAACACAAAAATAACCCATTTTTTTGAGTTGTGATCTGTATAGATTTGCTGCATAGCAGTCTGACCCAGGAGTCTTATATGAGATGGAATGTATAGGAAAGAAGTCCTAAGCACTCTTGAGCAAAGTTGACCGAGCAAGGTTCCTTATGGGAAGATCTAACTCATCCTGGAATTGACATGTCTCTGCCTTGCTATCAAAGTGACGGCACACTGTCCCCCTGCTGTCTGATTCACCAATGAGTGCCACTGATCCAGCCCTGCAGCCCAATTTCAAGGCTGTATTTGGCATAACTGTCTTGCCTTTTCCTTGCAGTTAATTTCTTTATCAGAAAGTCCTATGTACCATTTTCAGTTTCAGAATATTCATATTCTCTGATAGATTAACATTGGAAAGTTCATTAGAAACATTCTTTGAAACTTAAAGTTTTGAAATTCTTTTGAAACCTGGAAATTGCACAGTGAGGTAGATCCATTCTGAGCTTGACAGATAATTGGGTTTTCTTATTTTTTAAAGAAAGCTCATTCTTTTCATTTGACTTCTGTTTACTTTGGGTATTTGTCATTGTCATTTTATCACCCAGTGTTCTACTTGCTGGTGATGAGCATTCCTGTGCTCAACAATCCGACTCAGTCTGTATTTAAAGCCTTTCCAGCTTGGTAGAACTGAATGCTGGGTAATAAATACCCTGTAAGTTTGTAAGGATGGAAGGAGGACTGTGGAGAAAGATCTCTTCTCTTCCTGTTCATCTCTTAGACTCTTCTTAGACAGATAGTTTCTTCATTAAATTCTAAGCTGCTTGACTGAGGAGAGGTAGGATTCACACACAGAAACACAAACTCATCTCAGCTTGATTGAAGGTCTTGTTGCTTCCTGGTAGGTGAAGACATACTGCTGTTTGTATTGGATTGTAGTTATAAGATGGGGGAAGAGGAAGGCTGTCATCACCAGTATTTCTGGTAAGTAGCTTTAGATTTCTCTTGTTTATTCATGGACAGCTATTATTGCTTTACCACCTAGCCTGAAACCAGATATGAAAAGATTAAAGGCCACAGACCTGACCTGTGGGGCAGGTTCTTTCAGAACCTGGTTTTCACTGGACTTCTTTATCAGTTGGGCAGAAGGTACAAACTCCCTCTGGTCAGGTCAAACCTTCTCACTGGCAAGAAATAGCTCAGAAATAGACTATAACAACTATTTTAATCTGAACTCAAACTATAGAGAGGTTTCTTTCACTGGCTACTGAAGGGGTTTTGAGTATCACCTTCAGAGAAGAATCCTAGCTTAATCAAAATATGTAAGTCAAGTTGAAGTACATAAGCATTGCAAAAAAAAATGTACTTTTCTGAGTTCAGAAGACTGCCGTGAGTCTAGTGGATTTAAGGATCACAGTTAAGGATCATTTAGTAGATTTGTAAGGATTTATCCAGTTTACACAGTGGTAAAAAGCAGAACCTGATGGTATTCCCAGCCTTGTTCCATCCCTCCTATTAGAAACCATCCCTTGGTTGAGCCTTGGATGTTGAATAGATACCTTGCATTGGTGTAGGAGAGAAGAAGGAAGCAGGATAGTTGGAAGGGATTGAAGGGTGAGAGAAAAGAAAGGTCAGCACAGGTAATGGAGAATGAGGAGCAGAGAAGGAGGGCAGTGATTTAAAGGAAGAAGGTTCATGATGATGACTAATAAAGGTAGGGTCAGTGGAAGATAGAGGGATGGAAAAAGAATGAAGGAGGGAAAAACTGGAAAAAGTTAGGGACAAAGTTAAATAGAAAAAGATGGGAGAAATGGTTGTGGGGGAAGATAGTTATGAGGGGCATAAAATCATATGCATATACCCACAAACACATCTTATAAATTAGGATGTTGAAAAAATTTACAAACATTTACCATACATTTTTCTTTAAAATCAGAGCAGGGAGGAAGGAGAAAAATATAGATAGAACTATCACTACAGAGAAATAGCTCTAATTAAGCAAAAAAAAAAAGGAAAATGCTATAACTATGTAACTTTAGAAGTTTCTGAGGACAAGTATTTTGCAATGACTTAAATGTTAGGTTCTCATTCATTTAGATAACCTTTGCCTGAAGCAAGGCTCTCTTATGTTAATTTAGATTTAACATAAGATTTACTACAGAAAACCCAGAAAAGCACTTTGCTTGGTTGACAGCATTGTTAATTACCAACAATCTGGTAAAAGTGTGCTCTCTTGAATGTACTTGAAATTAATGAAGCTTTTACTTATAAATTATTTAATCATTCTAACTTTAACTTGTTTAAATCAGCATTTCTATCAAAATAGACTTTGTTGTCCTCCTTAAATACTAACTAAACTGCAAATCAACAAAATTAAATTAAACACTCACTGCAAGTGAGTCACTATCTTAAACCCTTAGATCCAGCAGGACAAAACCGAAGCAGTCCCTGCCCTTAGGGAACATCCATTCTGCCAGGGGTTAGGACAGGCAAAGGATAGATGGATGAATTTAAAGAGCCATAGAGTGCTTATCTCTGGTAGAGGGAGATCAGCAAAAATGACTTTGTAAGACACTAGGGATTCTGCTGATCATAGGTGAAGAAGCATTCCAGGGGTGGGAAATGATGGCCTGGAGGCATGGAGGAAACAGATAAGGTACTGACTTAGCATGTAACTTGGTTCACTTGAGAGCCATATTGTGGAGTATGCCTTGAAAAGCAGGCTGGCCTTGTAAAGTGTCAGATTCCCAAGGTGAGGAGATTTTAAGTTAGGGGAATGACGTAGTCAGCTCTGTATTTGAGGATTCTCAGTTCTCAGCCTTGTGGAGGATGGTTTGGAGCATAGATTCCCAAAGAGGATGATAACTGCCTCCCTAGGGGGGTGCTAGAATGATCCAGGGGGGCAGTATTTTTTTGTAATGATGCAGATTTCAAAAAAAAAAACCACTAAAGGGTTTTTAAAAAGTGGATTTCCATGGGGGCACTGAGTAATTTTTGTTTTAAAGGGAAGTGGTAGGCCAAGTAAGTTTGGGAACCACTAGACTTTAGAGATGGGGGAGTGTGGAAGCAGGGAGACCAGTTAGGAAGTTCTTAGAGTAATCTAAGTGAGCCTCAACTGGAGTAGAGAAAGGGATTGATGCAAGAGAGGTTGTAGACATAGAATTTAAAGAACTGTTAAATAATGAACATAGGAGCTAAAAGGAGAGGATGATGTGAGTTTGAGGTTTCACACCTGGATGACTGTTAGGTGGTGATTTAGTTAATGACAGAGAAGTTTGGGGGGAAGGGTTTGGATTACAAGATTTTGGGGGAGGGGAATAGGAGATCTCTTTTGGACTTAGTGAATTTGCCATGCTTATGGACACCTAAATAGAGGTTCACAGCTGGCAATAGGTGATACAGGATTGTAGTTTAGGAAAGAGATAAGGCTTTGATGGACCAATCATCTGCATAAATATTATTGAACCCATGATGGGAAAGAGTGTAGAAAGAGTAGAGGTCTGGGGTGAAGTGGATAGAGCTCTGGCTCTGGAGTCAGGAGGATCAGAATTCAAATTCGGCATCAGATATATAACACTCACTAGCTGTGTACTCTGGACGAGTCACTTAACCCCAAATGCCTCACAAAAATTAAAAAAAAAAAGTAGAAAGAGTAGAGGGCGGAAGACTGAGCCTGGGGGACACTTAGTGGGTGAGAGAGTGGTCTGGCCAAGGTACCAGGGAAAAGCAGGATAGAGGAGTGTAATGGAAGCTAGGGGAGGTGATATACCCCAGAGGGGATATTCAATGATGTCCAGACTAAGTTGTTATTGTTAATCATTTGTATAAGGTAATCTGGGGGGAATAAATGTTTCACTTTGTAAACTGTTTTATGTGTACTCTTCTGCAGTAAGAAGATACAGGTGAGAAAACAGATCTGCTCAGCGTTCTTTTTCATTGGTTTGACATCACCTTCTGTTCCCCCTGAGTGAATTGTAGGATTGACAGGTTTAGATTTTTAGGCAGCTCACTGAAAAGAGTTCAAACTTAAGAAGAGGAGTCATTGCAGTGTCATTTTGTAACTGCGAGTGAGGGAAAAGACTGAATTTAAGCATTATGCCTCTGAAATCAGTTTTGTGGGGATTGGAATCCACTTAAAAAAACTAAATGACATTATCATGACTGAACCAAGAGAACTGGACATTTGCTCATGTCAGTCATGACTAATGTAATGTTCATCATAATAAAATGTCAACAAATTCTGCCGTAAAGCCTAGGCATTCTGTTACTTGCTGAAGGAGTAACAAGCATCTGTCAAAGTGAGTGTGGAAAAAGGGGCCATCCATATAAAATCCAGGGTTGCAGCCGCTGGGGATAGTTCCCTGTGCACTAGTTGAAGTCTTCTGGGGACCTTCATGCTTTTGACTATTAGTAACCGTTCAAATGATCATATACTTTTAGACATTTGAAATGTCCGCAAGAGAGTTGGGTTCCAACTTGACCATGAGTCTGTTGCCAATACCAGCATATTTGGAAAGTAAACTGGAAATGCTGTTGTCATCGTGATGGAATAGAAATGTGGAACCGAAGACTTGAGTTCAAATTCTTGCCCTGCTACATATTATATATTTGGCCTTAGGGTTTTTAAGCTTTTTCTAGCTCTGAAACCTCTGAGTTGCCGGCAGATCATTGTGAAAATAAAGGAATCATAATGTTACTGCCTTGCTAATGTGTGGTATTAAGATAGCTAATAGCTTAATTTTCCTTAAAGTGCTTTTAAATCTGTTGTACTATTTTTTATTTTTTTCTACTCTCATTGTAGTCTCTTGAGTTAGATAGGGACAAGTATTGGCATCACCATCTTAATAATACTATTCAATCATCTTCAGTCTTCCAGTTGGGGAAGCATGGGAATAGATTTCTTGTAGACTGATTGTTGGGATACTTGCATATGTCTTGTGATTAACCTTGCTAAGTTAAGAGACTCAGAATGTTCTTGCTAGCAACATTGAATTATGACTGCTTGTTTCTTATTAATAGAAGTGTTTGTGAGAGTTTCTTTTTTCCCTGCAGGTATGACAGCAGTCATCTGTACTTATCCACTTGACATGGTTAGAGTTCGCCTGGCCTTCCAGGTGAAAGGAGAACACACATACACAGGAATTGTTCATGCATTCAAAACAATATATGCAAAGGTATTTCCTTTTTCTCTCCTTCCTTTCTGTAACATCTGCCTTCACATTTGGTAAAAAAAAAAAAAGCATCATGAGATGAATTTTAACTTGGCCTGGGAATTAGGTAGACCTCAGTTCAAGTCCTAACTCAGACCACTCATGTCTACTGTCACGTTGCATAACTTCTCACCACCCCCAGTGGTACTGAGAACGTAAAGTACTGAGAAAGTAATCTGCATCAGTAGAGAAAGTTTCCCCGTCAGAGTTCTTTCACATCTATCAAATCACAATTCTGGACCCAAAACAGTTATTATCTTTTGGGTAGATGACTGAGTTGAGAGATGTCCTATCTGAGAATGGGAGAGGAAAGGACTACTGTGCTATCTCCTGGTCAGACCAGACCTACCAGAGCATCACGCTCAAGTCTGGGCACACATCAAGCACAGCAGTGTCCAGAAAAGGGCAGCCGGGTAAAAGTGCCTACGCCATGTGGGCCTGGTGAAGAGGAGACTTTGAAAGACTCACATGTGGAAAAGTGATTAGATTTCTTCTGGGCTCCAGAAGGCAAAGGGGAGCATTGCAAGGAGGCCAAGTTTGACTCGGGGTAGTGAATCTTGCTTTACCAGAAGTCTTTAAGCAACTTGTCTAGAATGTTGTAGACTTTTGCATTCTAGTCTGTGCCACAGAATACTTCTTTGTTGTTGCTTTCTTTAAGTTCATCATAACAAGCATAACTTAATCATCCATTTACTTTTTCCTTTAAAAGGAAGGTGGCTTTCGTGGGTTTTACAGAGGACTGATGCCTACTATTGTAGGCATGGCTCCCTATGCAGGTATGGATTGCAGTTTCTTAAAACTTTTCAGATAGAACTTGAGTTTGACAGTCTAAGTTAGAGGGAAATCTTTATTTTAAGAAAGTAAGTAAAAGAAACTAAAAACTTAGATTCACTCTGAACATATTAAACTGTGCTGTCCTTCATATGCTAAGATGGGCCTCTTGGCCTATCAAAAATTGGGTATCCATTTTGGAGTTGTTTTTCTAGTTGAATTGCCTTTTGCTCTTATGCCATCTTCCTTTCTTAACAACTGTTCATGTGGCTGTCAGAGGGAAGAGTATCGTCTGTAACTGGGCCTTATGGAAATAGACTCTAGAACTTTGGTCACACTAATATCAGGCTAACTGGCCAATAATACTATATAGTGTTTGTATAAACAAGTAAGAGATGACCCAAGGATTAGTTATTAGTTCTGTTACTATAGATTGCTTATTATTAATAGTTTAATTGATAAAATATATCTTTTGTTTTCTGAAATCACAAGGATTTTGTGGTAGTGTATTTCGTAAATTTAGATGGCATAAAGGTATTGTGAATATTGGACAAATTTATAGCAATTCTCAAATTCCGACACTTTATGGTAATTCAATCTCATAACTTGTTAAGAACTAGGATAACATTCAGCAAGGACCAGTAACATTGTATTTGCCACGGAGTTATTTAATTTCAAGTGGTCCAAAATAGAGATCTCCGTTGCCTGTTTTAGTTTATGTGGAAAGTATATGTGCACATCTGGTTGACCCTTTCCCCCCAAAACTGGATTCTTCTCATGTTGGCAGCCCTGACTTTGAAGACTGAAAAGGGGCATCAGGTTAAAAGGCAATTCCTTATAATGTCTGAATTTTTTGACTTGAGTATTAATCTGAAAGACTGCTTGAGCCTGAGGTAACATCCTAGGTTTGCCAGTAGTTGCCTGGGGGACTCACTCTGGACTTCAGTTTCCTTACATAAAATGAGATGGCTGAATCAGATTGAGGGTTTTTTAACCTGGGGCTTCTGAACTTTAAAAAAAATTGTAACTTTAAATAGAATTGGTTTCCTTTGCAATTTTGTGTATTTTCCTTAATGCCTTAGTAAACATTGTTCTGCATATGGGTCCTTAGGCTTTACCAGACTGCCAGAGGGGCCAAAAAAGCATTGAGAACCCTTAACCCTGATGATCCCCAAGGCCCTCCCTGGTTCTAAATCTATGATTTTGTAGAAGGAAATATGTTTTTTAGTGGAAATATGTCTTGTCAGTTACATTTGGCACCACTGCTTTTCTAATATAGCTGCTAGAATGTAAACATTTCGTTTTAATTTTGTGCGAAACTATAAATGATCGAGACTATACTATATAATAGTTCTCTTTGGTGAAGTTTGCTTATTGTGTGTGGATCTATATGACTCCCACTGGTTTTCTTTAACTTGTGGATAAACTTTATATTTTTTAGTGTTACTAGTGGTAGAAATTGTGCATTAGGCAAAATGTGATAGTCAGGAAAGAAGAAATGCATTATTATGTACTTAAAATAACTTGAAATAATGCAATGTACTGTTTTTCTGCTCTTGTTAAATATTATTGTAAATTTACATTTTATTTTTTAGGGGTTTCATTTTTTACTTTTGGTACCTTAAAGAGTGTTGGTCTCTCCCATGCTCCTACCTTGCTTGGAAGACCTTCATCAGACAACCCTAATGTCTTAGTTTTGAAAACGCATATCAACTTGCTTTGTGGTGGTGTTGCTGGAGCAATAGCACAGACAATATCGTAAGTTTCCTAACCAGCCTAATTTAGGAAAATAACCTGGAATTGCATTGTACATAGTATGTATGTGTAGGACACTAAACTCTTACATAACTCTCCTTTTGAACATTAAGCTTTTTCTGTCTTAAGCTATTCGTAACCAGGAAAACTTATTATAAAGTGTAAGCACTATCATCTGAATTGTGAAAACCTCCAAGGTGGCGCGTATATTTGTATATTTTGAGTTGTCTTGCTGGTTTCAAGTAATGTTCATCTTGTAATTCTGTGGAGAAAGTAGTTTGGTATGTCTGCCTTTATTTCATTCAATAAACAATAAACATAAATATAATAATAAATAAATATAAAATAAATATTATAATGAAATTATATTAATTATAAAATTATAGATATTATGTATTATAAAAATAATATTACATAAAAATAAACGTTGTCCTTTAAAAACACAACAAGAATTTTCTCCCTTCCAGTCCTTGTTGTATACTTTGTTTTCTTCATAAGAATCTGTGAAATTTCAGAAAATTAAAGGCATTGGAGTGAGCTTTCTTCCCCTTCCTTTTTGCTTTTATGTAGGTCTTACTATCTTTCCTCCTAGTATCTCTGCACTGCTAACTAACCCCTCTGCCTGCTTCTATGGTTGGTTCTGTTAGGGATCTTGAATTCACATACTCATGACCATCCCACTCTCCGCTTAGTTTCTTCAACCATACTTTTTGCTATGGATTCTCCTATAATGATGTTTTTTGTTGTCTCCCCAGGCCCCTTTTTGACCCTGTTACTGCTTTTCTCCATTTCACTGACAAACTTCCAGATTCTGTGAACTCCCCCCCCACCCTCCCCCCCACCTTTCTTTACCGTCTCTGCTTTCTGCAATATGTCTTCCATTCCCACACCCTCACCCAAAACTACATTGCTGAATGAAGGCCTTTCTTGCTAAATTGAGAAGACCCCTTTTTTTCTCCATAGTACTCATTACCTTTGCCACTAGGTAATGTTTGATCCTGTTGACTTCCCTCTGTGACTGTTCTTTCCTCCTACTCCTCCAGTCTTTTTGAGTATCCCTTTCTGGTTTCTTTGATTATACTTGTTCTTTTCTTTTCTCAACATTTCCCTAAGATTCAGTCCTTGGATAGCTCTACTTTTCTTTTAATAATTTGGTCCCTAGGAAAGCTTATCCAGTCTTCCATTTGTCCGTTATTCATTTCTCTCTTTTTTTTTTTTTATTCAGGCACCGCAGTGCTGTCTCTGTCTCCAGGTCTAGCCTAAGCCACAGTCATGCATTTTCAACCCTCTTGAAGAAATATTTGTTCTGCCATCACCTCAGATCTCCCCCTTAGTCAAGCCATTGATAAGCACTGATTAAGCTGGTGTGTTTGGCACTATCCTGAGCTAAGAATGCAAGGATAAACATCAAACAACCTCTGCCCTTCCAGAGTTGATATTCTCATGGGGACACCAACAAGTGAAGAAAGACAGAATAGACAAGACAATGAATTCAAGATGGTTATGGAGATGGGGGGGCACCAGGGCCTAGAGGGTGAGGGATCAGGAAAGGTCTCTAGCCAAAGGTGATACTGGAGGGGTTCCAAGCAGCAGAGGAGAGGAAGGGAGAGTGTGTTCCAGGCGTGGGGAACAGCCCGTGCAAAGACATGGGGGTGGGAATTGAAGCATTTGTGTCAGGCACAGCAGAGAGTCAGTGTGACTGACCTGTGGGGAGTATGGAGGACAATGACTAAGAAAACTGGACAGTCAGGAAGGGTCCAGACAGAGGAGCTTATATCTGATCTAGAAGTGAGAGAGCCTCACGATCCCAGTATTCTTTGGTGCCCGTGGACCTTCATCAGTCATCAAGTCATTTCTTTTCATTCTGACTTTATCAGGGGGAATCTGGACTCGGTGACCTGAGGTCTCCTGCTCTAGATCTGTGATGCCAATTTGGTCACTTCGTGGCTGCCATTCCTCACTGCCCTCACGCCAGGCTCCTCAAACTTCCTGTTGCACTTTTCCCCCTCCATCAGCCAGCTCTGTCTTCTGAATACATCTTTGTCCTCTGTCCGTGATGTTTACCTCACTAAATGCTTTGCCCCCTCCCCAGTCATGCTTTTCATTTAAGGTCCCACACTTCCACGTTCTCCAGATTTAGCTAGTTGTTCACATTTCTGGCCTCTTACAATTCTTGTCTGTGAAATTGTATATTGAATTGCCTTGTGTTGTGCAATTTTCACACATGGGTAGCTTGGTTATAAACTCCTGGAAGCTTAAAACTGTCTACCCTTCTCTTTTCTCAGAGACTTGCACACAGGAGAGTGACTCTGTAATTGCTTATTGAATTGAACTTAAAAAAAAAAAGCGAATGTACTTTAGTTTGCCTTTTTTCTTCCTTCAGTTATCCACTTGACGTAACCCGTCGTCGAATGCAATTAGGAACTGTTCTCCCAGATTCTGAAAAGTGCCTGTAAGTTCTACGTACCTTTTGGTTGTCATTAGAAATCGAAGTTCTTAACATTACAAACAGGAAAGCAGGAGAACCGCAGAATTTTGTTTTTGGAATGGGTTTTAGAAATCATTTTGTCCCACCCTTTCATTTATAAATCAGCTCAGAGATTAACTTCTCCAAAGCCACATATTGGAGTGCTGATAGTGATAGAGAGTCCAGGATGAGAGCTTACCAGGCTCTAGCTCATCATCGGATCTCACAGGGCTCAATCATTTTCATCATGTACTTTGCTAATGGCAAGCAGGGTTCAAATTTTGTGTTGAACAGTTTTTAGGGGACAGTTAACAGAGTTTGGTCAGGGCTTTTCAGGGGCTCAGAACCTTTTTTTAAATCTATTTTTTCCCCCAATTACATGTGAAGACAATGTTTAACATTAATTTAAGTTCCAAATTTTCTCCGTCCTTCTCTTGCCTTCCCCCTCCCTGAGATGGTAAGCAATTTTATATAGGTCATACATGTGAAATGATGCAAAACATATTTTGAGACTTTTCTTATAAAGCTCTTATTCTCTCAAGACCAAGGATGCTTATGGCAAAGGTGAAACTCCAAGTCCTATGGGTTAGGAAGTGAGGTAGTTGGACGGTCTGGGGAGGGGCTAGTTTTTATTGCTGACTCAGATTTGAAAACTTTTTTATCTTTGACTGAGTTTTATTTCCATTATGTTTTCCTGGCCTTCTGCTGATCATTCTGATTTGAAAAAGAAAGGGAAAAATGCAGCTGTTAATGTATATTTTGGAAAGGCAGCCATTGGGCTCTTCCAGATAGTACTGACAAAAGTGATACCTCCCTCCAGTTTCTCACTCTTGTGTCCTTGCTATTACTGAGAACAGGGTCGGTGTTGGATATGTGTTTTGGGTGTCCAAGGCCTCAGTCCATGCCTTGCACATATTTTCTTAATAAACACTTGCCAAATGAATGTATCAGTAAAATTGCTCACCCCTGGCTGCAGTGCACCTGCCCACTTTGACATGACAGCTCCAGGGTGGTCGATTCTTTGTTAAAACAGCATTTGTCATTTCAGTCACCATTTTAGGGGCTTGAGAAAGGTCATTGGTGCCCCTCCTCCCCTTTTTACTCTTCCCTGATGTTATATTTCAGTACAATGTTGAAGACACTGAAGTATGTCTATGGACACCACGGCATCCGCAGAGGACTCTATCGGGGCCTGTCCCTTAACTACATCCGCTGCGTTCCCTCCCAGGCTGTGGCGTTCACAACCTACGAGCTTATGAAGCAGTTTTTGCACCTCAACTGAAGTCACATTATTCCTTAAACTGTCCAGGGCCAGACACATGTATATCTGGTATATGAACATTTATAATGTTTTATGTTTCTTTTGGCAGTGGAGGGAGGGAGGGTGTGTGTGTGTGTGTGTGTGTGTGTGTGTGTTAAGTGAAGTGGAAAATCACTCTGTAACTGCAAGCCTAGGCACTTTTTGTTGTTGTTGTTGTTTTAAGCCAGAAACCAGAAGTGCTTCCTGTTGTTTTCTGATGCCATAATTTGTGGTTTCCTGATATAAAACTCATCCTTAGGCCGACTCTGGATGTTTTATTAAGTTAATCAGTTTCATTAAAATAACTAAATTGTCTGAGAAACCAATGACAGATTAATTGGTGTCCATTATAGATTTTCCAAGATTTGCTCTTTAGCTTTATCATGTTCTTCCAAGCTTTTTTTAGCAATCATGGCAAGAAAAAAAGTCCCAGCCTTATGCTGACCTTAATGAAAAATTATGCTGGATTTTAAAATGAACTGAGTTCATTTTTTAAAATAGATTAATAATTTGTGATTATTATAGCAAGAATGTGTATTACAGTTTTATCTTGCCCCGTTGGGTAAGTGCATTGTACAAGCCAGCACGGAAAAGGTGATATTTTGTGGGTGGTGATGGTGGTGGTGGTGACTGATTTCTTGTCAAAAATAATATAATGTGCCATGGGATAAAAATATTATTTTAAAATAAAATTATAAATGTGACATAGTGACAATGATTCAGAAGCTAGGTAAGCTTACTTGCAGGTGTTATAATAAAAAAAGTTATCTGATACTGTGGGGTATTTTACATAATTTTTTATAAGAGACAACGTATTTCTAAAATGCGCTTAGGAATGTAAGTAAAAAAGACTAGCCCTGAGAGGTTTTATTTGTAAAAGTGGGTTGGTTTACTTCTGTTACACAAGATGTGTACAGATAGAGTGAAAGCATTCCCGATATTGTCAATATATGGATCAAATGGTATTTGCTGTGCTTGTATATACATTAGAATAATATGTGCATTAATATATACTGTATCAAAATGTTCTTCCATGAGAGAGACTTCTGTTGTGTAAATTTACTTAATGGAGATATTGAATATAATTTCTAGTGATCTCCTGTTGTTTAAAAACAAGCAAGTTAAAAATGTCTGGATTCATTCTTTGTAGCCACTTGTTGTCATTTTTATTTATTGTTGTAAATATCATTTTAGAGGACATGATATGTAGAATCGTTGCCATGAGATGAGTCATTAGAAAATTAGTTGAAATCATTGTGTGGTTTGGGTTAAGAGAATGAGCATTTCTGGTGTGGTCTTTGTAAATTTGGAAAAAATTGGATGAATTGTTAGCTTTGTTTTGACATCTCATCAGATAAATATTTGTTTGATTTATAAACCTTCCAGTTGATGGAACTGCATGTGTTCCTAGAGCTGTATATGTTTCCCCTTCTGGGTTATGCTATAACTAAATATTGTCAGGCAACCTTGAGGTGATTTAAATTGCTAAAACAAATATCTTCCATTATCCCCTGAAAAGAAACTACAAATGTTTTACTGAAGGAAAACTTGCATTCTGTTCCATTTCTAGAATATGTTCAAAAATTTAATGATAAATAAATATGTTTTAGTCATTTCGAAATTTATTTCCTTCATTTATAAATTGTAGGTTTCATTTACTGCAGTGAAGGCCTTTACAGGAGATTATTAGAACAAAAAAGCAGTCAATTCTCCCTTTCATTAGAGGTGTTATTTTGACTGGGTGTCAAAAGAGTATTGAAAACTCTTGCAGACAGTTTTGCTGAACTTTTTTTTTTTAATAAGGATGGGTTCTATTGGGAAATAATTGTTGTATAAGAGAATAATGACTCTGTTGTATTCTGAAGGGTGATATAAATAGATCTCATACCTTCAATTTAAAGGGTGGAGCCTTTTTAAGTTCTTAACCCTTTAACATTGGGTCAAAGTCTTTTTAGAGAACTGGGCAGCTAGGTGGTACAGTGGATAGAACGCCAGGCCTAGAGTTTAGGAAGACCTGAGTTCAAAACCAGCCTTAGGTATTTACTAGCTATGTATGTATGTGTGTGTGACCCTGGGCAAGTCACTTCAGTGACTGTAAAATGAGCTGGAGAAGGAAATGGCAAGCCACTCCAGTATCTGTGCCAAGAAAACCCCAAATGGGGTCACGATGCTGCTGAAAATGACTGAACCCAACAACAGAGAGAACTGAAACATGCAAATAGTGCTTTTGGCAAGGAGTAGTTGCTTGCTTTTTTCACTGAGCCTGGTCTACTCATTAATGCTGTAGGCCAGAGGACCTGAGTCTAGATTGAGAAGTTTAAATTTTGACTATGCCGTCTTACCATCTGGGTGGCCTTGGCCCAGGTAACTTCTGAATCACATTTTCATCATGTGTAAAATGAAGGGGTTGAATTTGATGAGCAAACCCCTGAGGTCCCTTCCAGGTCCAAATTCCACAAATATATATTGTTGTTGTCTGTCTTCTAAGTGTTTGTTCTCTTTTTAAAAAATATTTTTATGGTCTTTGATTTTTACATCACTTTTATCCCTAGGTAATATCCCTTTTCTTCCCTCCCTGTTGGATCATTCCCTGTAACAAAGAATTAAAAAAAGAAAAAAGAAATGGGGAAAATGCAATTCTGCAACCTTAATTAAGATCAAATACCAGTTGAATTTGTATACACAAGTGTTCTACACCCATTGTGCCCCACTTCTGGAAAGTGAGGAGGGTGGTACTTTTTCTTAGGCAGTGAGGTGGTATAATGGTTAAGATACTGGGTTTGGAGTCAGGAAGACCTGAATTCATTTCTGGCCTAAGATACTTCCTAGCTTTGTGATCCTGGGCAGCTTACTTAACAAATTACTTTGTCTACCTTAGTTTCCTCAACTGGAAAATAGGGTAACATTAAATAACAGCACTTTACTTCCCGGGGGGAGTCATCTGTAAAGTGCTTAACATAGTACCTGCCACATAGTAGGTGCTTAAGAAATGCTGGTTTCCCTCTACCCTTTTCAGGGCCAAGCTTAGCTATCTGTGTACAATATTCCATTGTAGTCATTGGTCCAGATGATTTCCATGGTTCTGCCTACTTTGCATCAGTTGGCATAAATCTTCCTGTGATTTATTCATATTCAGTGGTTTTTTTGGTACAGTCATGTTTTAAACATGTATAAAATAGAGCTGATCAACACCTAACCCGTTGGTTGTCCCCATATCTTTCTATCAGACTTTTTAAATATTGTCCTGGGAATTCCACCACAACTGAATACTGCAGGATTGCTGAGTCACCATCGAGGGAGTGGTCTAGTTTGTCCTGGATGTGAATCCTAGCTGGAGTTCATAATTCTTCTAATCAAAGCAGGTTTATGTGAAACTAAGGAAACAACAACAACAATTCGTCCAGTTTCAAGTCTCAGTGCCTGGAACTGGGCCACATTTCAAATTCTTAATGGAAAGTAAATTGACTTGGATGAAGTAACCTAAGCGATCTCTGCCTGTACCTAACTAAAAACTTTGGGTGATATTTATTCCTTGTAGTACTGGGGATGAGGGACAGGAAATAAAATCAGAGCAAATATACTGAACACAAGGCTGATCGTAAACAACATGTACAGCCTGCAGAAAGAGGGACCCAGAACCAAGGATAAATACAAATGATTGGCTTAGACCTATAATAACATCTAGAAAGCTACCAGAGTTAATGCGAATAACCTTTGTGGTTCTTAGAAAGGGAGTAAGAATCTTAGATTTGAAAAGATACCAGACTTAGGCCACCTCGCTTTGTGCCACTTGGTGGTGGCATGACCTTGGGCAAGTCACTTCTTTGTTTTTAGGTTGGATTTCCTTACCTGTAATAATAGAGTTGAACTGGAAGATATCTAAAGTCTCTTCTAGTTATATTCAGTGGAATGAGCTTTAAAAAATGTCTCTGGGCGCAGCTAGGTGGCACAGTGGATAGAGCACTGGCCCTGAAGTGAGGAGGACCTGAGTTCAAATCTGGCTTCAGACCAAACACTTGACACTAGTTATGTGACCTTGGGCAAGTCACTTAACCCCAATTGCCTAAAAAACAAAGTCTTTGAAGGGAGCTGCAGTGTCAGTTGGAAGACACTGATGACAGTGAAGTCACCTGATTCCTTATTTGCTTTAATCTTCATTCAGAAGGAGGATTCTCAGACTAGAATAAGGTAGAACAAACATTAAGAGAAATCCGAAACAGGGTGGAGAAATAAATAGTTATTCTTTGTCCTTTTTTTTTCTTTTTTTTACTTAATAGTATTTATTTTTGTGACAATATTCAATATTCATTTTTGAGATTTTGAATTCCCAGTTTTTCTCCCTTCCCCAGGTGGCAAACAGTCTAATATAGGTTATGCATATGCAATCATGTAAAACATTTCCATGTTAATCATGTCGTGAAACAACCAAAGCGGGGGAAAAAAGTGAAAATAGTATGCTTTGATCTGCATTCAAACTCCATGGTTCTTTGGATATGGATGGCATTTTCCATCATGGGGCCTTTGGAGATGTCTTAGATCCTTCTATTGCTGGGAAGGGTTAAGTTTATCAATATTCATCATTGCACAGTGTGGCTGTTACTGTAAACAACATTCTCCTGGTTCTACTCACTTCACTCAGCATCAGTCCATAGAAGTGTTTCCCGGTTTTTCTGAAGTCGGGCCTGCTCATCTTATAGCACAATAGTATTCCATTACATTCATATACCACAACTTGCTCAGCCATTCTCCAGTTGATGGGCATCCTTTCAATGTCCAATTCTTTGCCACCACAAAAAGAGCTGCTATGAATATTTATGTACATATGGGTGCTTTTCCCATTTGTATGATCTCTTTGGGATATAACCCTAGAAGTGCTATTGCTGGGTCAAAGGGTATGCACATTTTTATAGCCCTTTGGGCATAGTTCCAAATTGCTCTCCAGAATGGTCGGATCAGTTCACAACTTTAGCAATAATGCATTAGTGTTCCAATTTTCCTACATCTTCTCCAGCATTTATAATTTATATATATTGCATTGCTGAGAAGAGCTAAGTCTGTCAATGTTAGTCATCGCACAAGGTGACTGTTATTATGTTCAATGTTCTCCTGATTCTGCTCATTTCACTCTGCATCAGTTCATGTAAGTCTTTCCCAAGTTTTTTAATTCTGCCTGCTATCATTTCTTTTTTTTTAATATAAATTTGTTTATTTTTAGTTTTCAATATTCACTTCCACAAGTTTTTGAGTTCCAAATTTCTCACCCCTCCCCCCACCCCAAGATGGCATGCATTCTGAATACCCCTTCCTCTGGTCTGCCTTCTCTTCTATCTCTCCCCCCTCCCTTCTCTTATCCCCTTCCCCTTCTATTTTCCTGTAGAACAGGATAGACTTCTGTACCCCATTTCCTGTATTTCTTATTTCCCAGTAGCATGTGAAAACTTTTTTTTTAAAACATGTGATTTTAAAACTTTGAGTTCCAAATTTTCTCTCTTCCTCCCTCCCCACCCACCCTCATTGAAAAGGCAAGCAACTCAATATAGGTTGTACATGTGCAGTTATGCAAAACACGTCCATAGTAGACATGTGAAAAACTAACTCTATTTCCCTTAATCCTGTCCTGCCCTCCCATTTATTCTATTCTTTCTTTTGACCCTGTCCCTCCTCAGAAGTATTTACTTCTGATTACTCCCTTTCCCAATCCTCCCTCCTTTCTATCATCCCCCTGCTCTCTTGTCCCCTTCTCCCCCTATTTTCCTGTAGGGTAAGACAGATTTCCATACCCAATTGAATGTGTATGTTATTCCCTCCTTAAGCCAAATCCTATGAGAATAAGATTCACTCTTTCCCTCTCACCTTCCCCCATTTCCCCTCCACTGTAAGAGACTTTTCTTTTCTGTTGTTTTTTTTTTTGTGAGATAATTTACCCCATTCTACCTCTCTCTTTCTTCTCCTAGTATAATCCTCTCTCATCCCTTAATTTTATTCTCCAGATATGACCCCTTAACCTTCAACTCACCCTGTGCCCTCTCTCTATCTATATATACATACATACAATTTTTTTCCTTCAACTACCCTAATACTGACAAAGTTCTCATGAGTTACAAATATCATCTTTCCATGCAGGAATGTAAACAGTTCAATCTTAATAAGTCTCTTATGATTTCTCTTTCCTGTTTACCTCTTCATGTTCCATTGGAGTCCTGTATTTGAAAGTCAAATTTTCTATTTATCTCTGGTCTTTTCATCAGGAATGCTTGAAAAGTCCTCTATTTCTCTGAATGACCATTTTTTCTCCTGAAGGATTATACTCAGTTTTGCTGGGTAGGTGATTCTTGGTTGTAACCTGCTATCATTTCTTATAGCATAACAGTATTCCGTTGCATTCATATACCAACTTGTTCAGCCATTCCCCAATTGAAGGGCATCCCTTCAATTTCCAATTCTTTGCCACCACAAAAAGAGGTGCTATAAATATTTTTGTACATGTGGGTGCTTTTCCCATTTGTATGATGTCTTTGGGATACAGACCTAGAAGTGCTATTGCTAAGTCAAAAGTATGCACAATTTTATAGCCCTTTGGGCATAGTTCTGAATTGCTCTCCAAAATGGTTGGATCATTTC